TTTTTTTTTTTTTCATTAATAAAATATAAATTTCTCATATAAATTGTGATTTCAAATATATTTATGATCGGCAAACAAATGATATAAAAGATGAATTGGCGAAAATGATTTAAATAATGATTTATGTGTTTAAACAATGGATTTAATATACAGATTTAGTTAATTTAATTTCTTCTAATTTCATCACATGTTAATTAAATAAATAAACAAGTGTTTTTATGAATACTTTTATAAATATTTTACAGTTATTCATGCAGAAAGCGGTGTCTCCTGCAAAGATCAACAAGGACGATCCTATGAAAATACTTTTATATACATTCCTGGTCCAGAACCTTGTACATTGTGTGTATGTGATAATGGCAATCCAAAGTGGTGTAAAGCACTTGTTTGCAAGTATGCAGAGGTATTTCAAATGCTAAAATAATCATATTGCTTTGTGCTTGATATCATTTTTTTTCCACGTGACTGAAAAATTAATTCTATGTACAGGAATATTGTAAATCTTCCCGGCATATCTGTTGCCAGTATATCTGTTTGGATGATACATTGTTGTCTATACCAAATGACAAGTCTGATGGGATTGGTAGCAACACGACTGATGCTGTTACAAATTACGACATAGGGCTACGATCTGTTGCTAGTTTTGTAACAGCTGTGTTGTCATTGAGTTTGTTATTTTTTTTAATACATCGTTTGCGCCAAAGAAAGATACGAGGTATTTTTCCTTTACAATGTGTGTTAAGTGCTCTTATTTCAGAATAACAGATAAAAAATTTTGATTGTTTTGTGAAAGTTTGCGTGGCAGGAAGACAGAACAGACAGTTAGCAGAGGACCAAAGAAACTTAGGTAGTATGGGATATTTAGAACGAGATGGACTATCGCATGGTGTTCCTATGGATGATATTCCATGTGGAGCTAGTTATCCATTATGGAAGCCACCTAGCAATTACTTTCCACGTGGTGAAGCTCCACCACCTTATGAAGAAGCAGTCGCAGCGGCGAGAGCAGAACAAGCTCTTCTATCAATGAATCCACAAACACTTCCACAATTAAATTTTCCAAACATCTATTTGCCAAACACTAATAGTCGTACAAGTATATCCTTAGTAGGAAGCACACAAAGTGGTATAAATCGCAATTCATCAACATTAATTTGCGACAGTGGTATAACGGATCAAAGTGGCTTAATCTCAACACCAAGTAGACCAATATCGAATCCAAACATATACGCTACTTATCGGCAGTCGAATCAAAATGAAGCGTTATCTCCGAGTGTTAGTGTAGGAACTTCTACGACGAGTTTCACAATGGGAACAAGTACTTACGAGAATTTACCTACTCCCATTGGAATTCCGAACTTTGTTAATCAACGTCCTGATGTAATTGCACAACCTTTGCCCAACTTTACCCAACAACAACCTACTATTCCGAAAAGTTATCAAACGCATACTACTCTTCCTCGTCAAACTGCAGCGTTTACAATATCCGCGACCTTGCCAAATTCTAGTGTGACTACTCATCGTACAATTCCTAGGACTTTAACAACTCGTGCTGGTGCAAAGTTACAAGATATTATAAATGATTGCACTCAAAAAGAATTTTTACGATCTACGATAACGACCGATATTGCTACGCCGACTTTAGCGCATTCTACGCAAGATGCTACAACTAAATTAGAAAGTTCAAGGGAAAATACAAATTCAGATATATTTCGTGAAGATATACAAATACAGCCCTCCTCTGCATCTTCTTCTGGATTGCAACAAATTGAAAGACAACCATTAGATCATAAAATAGAATTAAAATCTCATGATTTTAAGGTAATAGTACAAAATCTAATATTGATATTTATTTTTATAATATTGTTAATATTCATTTTTCAAACTTATGTTTTTCATATGTTTTAGCCACCGTTAAATTTAGCTAATGGGATTAATGAAGAAGGAAGTTTTGAATCGGTAGCATGCACTTGTAGTATGCAAGCCCTTTCTACTCTTCATGATGATACAGATGACTATAGAAGTGAATGTGAAAATTGTAAAAGCGCAACAGGTTCTCGTTATTACTTAGATAACGAAGATGAATTAATTACATCTCCGCACGAAACTATGACGTTACATAGAAGACCAGATGAAACAGCTTCAAATGCTACACCTCAGTATTATAGAACTTCACTCACACTGCCTATAAGTACCCGTCAACGAACAAGGTAATTAATATTAAATCATTTTAAAACAGTTAAGACTTATTAATGGTTGTGGTAACAAATTGCGTGAAAAAAAATGTAATCTTATTTTGACAATTTATTATAGTACAATATTATATCTTTATTTCATTCTCTTTTGCCTTTTATTATATTCATCGTTTCCGTGACCCTGTAATAATTTTATTATTTATCTAATTCGAGCTATGAATTTTTTTTAAATTAGTAAACAATGTAAGTTTAGCTTTGTATTAATACTATTAGGCACTTCAAATTTTATCAATACTTTTTTGTGTTTAGG